CACACACACACACACACACACACACACACACACACACACACACACACACACACACACACACAAGCACACACACGCAAACACACCATCCTCTCTCACACACACGCACACATAAAGGGATTATTGTTCCTAAGGTTTTGGCCGTGCTGGAGATTGGGCTGTGCAGTGGGAAGGGCTCTGCATCCAAAAGTTTGGACGCTGAGGCTTCGGCTGTTGAATCGAGCGCTTGAGCGCACCAACATGACTTAGAGTGCGCTAATTCATGTGTGTGTGTAGAATGCGTAGAGTAGCGTAGAGCAGCGTAGAGTCCAGTCGACAACGTCTTCGAGTAGCTTAGCGTGTCTGTAGTCCAAGTCTTTGAGTAGCTTAGGCCGCCAGTACACGGCCCCAGCCTTGCTGAAAAGAAAACTCGCCGCCTACGAAATTTTAGGAGGCCCAGCGCCGTAGATAAATTCAATCGGCGGCGGACGGCCTCTGAAAAGCCCCCGCGGTCGATAACTGGATGTACTGGTGGTTTAAGCGTATCGAGAGGCCGAGGCAGTGTGTGCGCTGAAGCTGGTTACTATGCGTACCACGCGTGCACTGCACCAGTACAATTTGCGGTACCGGCGCTGGCCCTGTAGGGACGCGGGCCTGGTAATGCTCAATGCCGGGGTGGGCACGCGGGCCCCATACCGTGCGTGGTGCACCACGGGACCGGTATGACGGTTCAACTTCTAAGGCAAAACGATCAGAAGGATGATCGGGACCGTTGCGCAGAAAAAGATGGAGGGCCCCGATCGTCTGCTTGTCACAGGCAGGAAATTAGCGATAGTTATGTATGTAGTGAAAGTGAATTTTAGAAGTCTGGTAGGCTTAGAGCATATGGGTACCAGTTCCTGTAGTCTGAGCCTGGCGGCTGCAAAGGGGAATATCAGTCCGTAACGATGTTACCTCCACCAGACTTGGGAGGCTGCAATGCCTTGAAGCCAACGCGCGAAGAGGCAATACTCCGGCAGCTCTTCGCTGTAGGCAAGAGGCTCAGCCTCACTTTGCCTGTGAGCAGTTTGGTGGCTCGCTGCTGGAGCAAACGCCCAAGTGCAGGAACACTGGGTGGAGGAAGAAGGCAGCTTGGCCTTCCACCCCAGCTATGGTGGAAGAAGCCAAGGGGGAAGAGTAGGAGGAGGAGGAGGAAGAAGATGGTGAGCACGAAGGAGCGACGGGGGAGCTTACCTGGATATGGTGCTCTGAGTCTTCATCTTCTTGGTTCGAACTGCACCTGGAAGGCCACAGTTGGGGTTGGCACCTACAAGGAAGACCCCGGGGTAGTGCTAGGCTTGGCGGCCATAGTTGTCCTCTGAACATCAGAGCTTCACCCCGACAGTCCATAGCCACCTGCTCAACCAAGTAGGAGGAAGGCGTATGAGATGGCTATGGTGGACCCCTTGACTGGCTGGCTGTAAAGGAAGGATTCGGACATCGGTTCTGGGCTTGCCCGTGGTGCACAATGAACAGGTTGATAGACATTTCCATGTTGTCCCTCCCATTGAAAAAACAGCACCACATGTAAATGCCAAACCCAATCGGGGAGTCGGTGGCAAACTGACCGTGGAGTCGGACATGGGTTCAGAAAGAGTCAGTTATTATTAATGGAGAAAATATTGGACACTATTCTCCTACGTATGAATGTCTGCTTTTCCATTCTTACAGCAAGACAGCTTCTAAGTCATGAAAAGATTTGTGTTAATAATCAAATTATCATTTGGCCTAGCTTTCTTTCTGATACACTGCACGGCCAAAGGAAAGCGGGTGCGGGAAAGGGGCTGAGGGGATAACAGAATCTCTATTCGGTCCACAGGCCTTACCATCGGAGCTCCTGGTCTGCCCTTGCTTCGGGCTGCAGCGTAAGCCCCACCGGGCATTGCTTGGATTGGCGTGTATGGACTGGATGCAGCTGCAAGATGCCCTCCATAGCCAGGTACAGCTGCTCCGCTATTGTACACTGCAATCAGGAAGCCAAGCAAAGAGAGTGGAAAAGCAAGGAAATAATCAGGAGAGATCACAGGGAAGTGGAAAAGAATGAGGTCCATGAGGATCTGACGCCTGGCATGTGTTATAACTCTGACGGCAATACACTCTTTCAGGCTCATGAGGTACACATAACCCATCCTCTATCCCCAGGTGCAAATCCCAGCAGGCTAATTCAAAAGCGACGAGTTCAGTCATTTCTACTTGAAGAGTAGCCCCTGGGAATCCTATCCTGCTCCTCAGTATAAAGTAAACATTTTTCACATTTTCATCACCCAAACAATTCAACCACAAGAACCAGCTCAAGAGATAGCAAACCGGTACTCAAGAAAAACATAGGGACACATAGACCGGCTCCAATGACTGCAATCTTGGGCCAACCACATCTTGTCACTCAAGAAAACAATAGGAAATCGAAGAGAGACGGCACTCGAAAGTGTAAATCTCAATAAGAGCCACAGTTCTTCATTCTAGACCAAAATGTATCACATCAGAGACTGGGACTCGTAACCCCACTTAACCTACACTCCCGGTTGATAATCAGTAAACACGCGGGGCAGAAAACGAACAAAACAAGAGTGATTGACAAAAGGTGTATTGGGCACCACAACAACCTAACAACATTTAGGTTTAAACACCAACAGTTCCATGTGATGTCATCAAATGAACATTAGTACTCTCTCTCTCTCTCTCTCTCTCTCTCTCTCTCTCTCTCTCTCTGTGTCTCTGTCTCTGTCTCTGTGATGCCATGTTCACTATACACAGCTACAAAAGAATTGTGTTCGAGGCATCTTGAGAAGAACAGCATACTGATCTACCAGAATGTCTCAGCATGTCTATGGCCCAAGAAATAATGAGCCATGGAGATTCATGGATGGACATCATTGCTGACTTGACACTGCCCTTCATCTGCCTCTACTACCTTCCACCTGCCGCAATTTGCCTACCCTTAGTTTGGAGGTTGCTCCTTCTATCTTCAGTCGTGCACAACACTGTGTATTAGGCCAAGTGCTGGTTCATTATCATACAGCCTAACTCACAAGATGAGAACTCACCTGAAGTGTTTTTTTTTTTTCGTTAATTCTGCTTGGGCGAGGGACATAATGGTGCCATGACAGCCATGGATGTACCCACTGTACTATAGTTACATTTATGATTAGCTTGTGCCAGAAACGTTACCTCCATAAGGCAGAGGTAAAACCAACTTCTGGCTCAAAAGTGAGAATGACAAAAGGGTGAAGAAACAAAACAGAACGCAAACGAGAAGAGTTGCATAGCAGCACCACACTCGACACCGAGGGTTCTAAAAGGGATGGCATTAGCCAAAGCGACAAATGCGACTATGTGACTTCCGTGCGACTGTGTAACCTCCCAAAGCACCCTGTCTGCCTGTTCGAGCCTGGCCCTAATTTCACATCTAAAACTTCCTATAAAGATGTATCTTACTATCTTGCAAAGATTTCCTAAATAGTCGAGCAGTAAGCAAAGGCACAGCCAATAGAGTCTGTGACATTCATAGTAAATGAACATTGAGTACGGGGTTTCGATGGACGGCCAAATGCAGGGAGGACATTAAGAGCTTTCACATGGATAAAGACGAAAAAGCCTTGAGCACTACAACTGCACCCCTGATTACTATACTTGTGCTACAAAGCACCCATGAGAAGTGAAGATTCCCAAATGGATTGTACCTGCTTTTCACGCCCCGGGTTCGTTTTCACACATGGTTAACCGGGGGTGTTTTTTCCCTCCGAAATTTGCACTGAAACTGTCATACTGCCCTGATTTTTTGCTTTTTTTTCTTGTTTTTCGTTTTGTGATATGTAGGTACTTTCTTTTTTTAATTCTTTGTAAAAACTACGCTTCATTATTCTCTCAAATCTTTCATCATCTTCCAAATTCTTTCAATTCACCTTCACTACATACACTACTCCTAAGGGCTTAAAAAGGGGATATGTCGGTGCTTTAGGGTACGTCATGTGTCCAGTTTTGACATGTTTGGAACTTTGGCTCAATAATGAAAAAGTTGGCATCTCGGTTTGATTCGCTGAATGCTTCATTTTCACTCCGAAAGTGTTTTTCTGTTAGGGTTCAGAACTTCAGAACCCTTTACAATTTTTCTGTGTTTTTTTTTAACTTTTTTTGTTCATTTTTTTTGGACTTTTTTTTTTTTTTTTTTTTTTTTTTTTTTTTTTTTTTTTTTTTTTTTTTTTTTTTTTTTTTTTTGCATTACGTGCCCATATAGTTTGTTTTTGAATTTTCCGCTGACTTTTGCACCGAAACTGTCGGCGAAAAAGGCAAATCTTCCGCTTTCCGTTAAACCACGACTACTTCCTAACAAGTAGTCTATGGAAACATACCAGCCACAACAGTTCAACAGGACACCTGCATTGAGTTTTCCTTCTTTCTTTCTTTGATGGTGCTTTTTCCTTTTGCCTCTTTGGCTCCTTTTCATTGCTCACTATTGGTTTGCTGCAGGCAGCTGCGGTTGGGCCAGCGAAGTCAGTCCCATTTCTCCAGAAGTTATGCTGGGCAATTTTCAGGAAGCAATCTAAGCATTTCTTTCTCACAGGCAAGAAAAACACCCAAAATATTTCATATAATTGCCTTAAAAATTAAAATAGAAGTTAGACCACACAATACCCTGCCCAGTTATCCCACACACACCCCCCTATTGAGCCGGTGCAGCGGATAGACTGAGCCTACCGGCGATCCGCAGTGCCAGGGAGGGGCCACAATTTCTGAGTGACAATCTCCCACAAAAGAACCTGAAAATTTTCATGGCCGCATATGACATGGCACTCTTTTTGTTTTCACATGCCACTCAATCAGGGGAAAATATATAAAAAAAGAAACAATAACGGCCTGCCCCACGTGCCTGTCAAAAAATGTGGTACAAATTACTACAAATGCAATTCATATTCGCACTGCTTCCAAGCCCCGGCCCCGACCCCCACAATGGTTCTGTGGTCCGGGGGCAGGTCAAATCCGGCGCAGGAAAATGACCGTAATAATTGCGTAATTTAAAATTGCATGAAAAAAGACAGCCTCAGATAACAACAGTACATATCTGCATCGCATCTGCGTCACTTCACTTAATTCACAGTGAATCTTCTCAGTTGGCGATGCGATGCTTCCGCAAAATTTAAAACAGGTAACCCAATGATCGATCAATCAACTAGTAGTGGTTGAATCAGTGTTCGTGTACAGGCATTCCAAGTTTCGCTTTCGTCATTACTGACCCCTGTTCAGCAGAGTCCATTTTGCAACATAGATGAAGTCACAGCGTGGTAGGAAATGGCATCGGCAAATTTGGCTCGAGCCCATGGAAATCCTTGACATGTTTCAATTTGCGTTGTTGTCAGAGATTTCCCTAAAGTCAGTGCAACTGGCAAATGCATCTGGAAGAGGAAAGGGAGTTTGGGGGAGGTAGAAGTACAGGAGATGCAAGTTGACGGTGTAAGGAAGGGTAAAGAAGAGGGAAGGGCGCCCGACAAGTTGGGGGTGGAATTACAACAGAAGCTGGAAGGAGAAGAGTTCAAGGCAAGAGAGAGAGAGAGAGAGAGNGAGAGAGAGAGAGAGAGAGAGAGAGAGAGAGAGAGAGAGAGAGAGAGAGAGAGAGAGAGAGAGTATGAACTTTGAAGCATGAAACAGAGAACAACCAAGAAAGAAAACTGTCATACAGCACCTTGAACTGGCAAACGGTAATCTGCAACATAGGGATCTCGACCTGCAATATAGGGATCTCGAACTGGAACATAGGGATCTCGAGCTGGAACATAGTAATCTGGAACTGGAATCGAATTCAGGCCACAAGTCCTGTCAGAGTGGGGCAGACGGAAAGAATCGACCTCATAGCAAAGAAAGAAAAGAAGGCAACGACAAGAAAAGGAGACAAGGAGAAACTTCAAAAGATCACTGCTGCTTGTTTCCTCTGCAGTGACTGATTGCTGTGGCTTATTGCACATGAAGAACTTGTGAAAGTGGGCTTACCTTTCCTAATTCCAGCTAGCACAGATTGAGAGCCAACCTGGAGCATGAAGAGAAAAATCAGAAAAGAAAAGAAAAGAAAGAGGACCAGGACAAAGAGAACTGCTGGTTGTCTCCCCTGCAACGACAGATTGCATGTGGCTTACCGTACAAAAATGGGGCCTTCTCTACTTCCTGCTGAGACAGATTAAGAAACAACCTGGAGCCTCCCCTAGCAGGTGCGTTCCGGTGACATAAGAGGGCCACGGGGGTGGCTTTAGAGGTGCACAGATAGAGTGAGGTTGAGTTGGGGGAAGGGGAAACCAGGGGGAGTGAGAGGACGGACATGCAATTGAAGAATGAAGGCTCAGAGACAGTCGAGCGAGGAATGATAATTAATAGGTAGGACAATTAACGCATATCATTTATTAATAAAAAAATAAGGTTAACCACCAACGGGGCCTAGCTCAGTTGGCACACCCACGAACTGTTGCAAGTTGAAACGTAAAATACAGACCCAAGTTGGAATCCAGGTACAATCAGATGACCGGAATACAATCATTCTGAAATGCCTGGCGGCGGTCAGTTCAATGACGATATGTCAAAGGTCGTCCTTTTATTTTTTTAAGGAAAAAAAAAAAAGGAGAAAGTTATCTCGGTGAATAAATTAAGTATAGCCTGGCCGATTAGGCAAGGCTATCATGCCTTTCAATTTTTCCTTTCCTTTTCATTTCTTTTCGGGATAATTTGCAAAATACCCCCCTAAGTTGAGATATATGCCGAAATGCCCCTGAAAGATGTGGGCAGAGCGGAGTGCTCTTTTGGGACGAAATCTTTGCATCATGCTTCTGTGAGCCCGGTGTTAAAATTTGCAATCTGGACCTCGCCGTTTGGGTCTGGGCACTTTGCAGTCCGGCCTCGGAAAACTTGGCAAATAGGGGGTGCATTTCGCAAAGTTGGATGGTACCCGGTAGGGGTATATTGTAAGGATTTGGGGTCCAGGGGTATTTCACAAAATAGTTTTTTTGACAGAGGGGCATTCCGCTCTACCCACATCTTTCAGGGGCATTTCAGCATGTACCTCAAATTATGTGGGTATTCTGCAAATTATCCCTTTCTTTTTTTCTTTTCTAATTTACGGTGCCTTAGTGCGCTTCTTTGATTTATGTTGAGTCTTGAGAACCTATTGATGGACTGTCAGCCAACACAGCAACATGGACAATTAGCTTGCTTGAGAAGCGGGCGTGCGTGCAAGGGAACAGTACCAGGGTACAGTACTCGTCGCAACAGAGATAGTTGAATGGAGAATACAATGGCACGTAAGCAATTGACGAAGCCGAAGAAGATCGGATCGGACAAGTTTACAGGGTGGTTTCTGAGGCACTTTTCTCTAACACTGGGGTTGCCCTGCACGCCAAACAAAATGATCTGTCGCAGGCTGTTGATCGATTTTCTCAATTGTCTTGAAGGCCCTCAAAAATTGCGGCCCGTCGACAACCAGCGCCCATGGCCAATATATGGGCCAGGTACTGGTGGTGGTTTAAGCTGGCATCGCAAGGACATACTGCAAGGAAATGGCAAACGAGGAGGCTATTCTGAGAGCACATGCTTAAACCACCACTAGTGCCTACCGCATTTTTCGTACCCCCGGGCCTCGAATGAATTTGGACCGGAGGGGCAGGCCGATTTGGCTTCCGTGTTAACAGCCACCCCAACTGGTAGGTACTGGTGGTTTTAGAGGAAAGCCTTGTTGCCAAAGGCAATGGTGTTGATGGGAACTGGGAACAGATGCAGCCCCAATGCGGCAAAGTTAATTATTATACAAGGAAGAAGTCGCCTCTTCTGAAAAGACAAGGTCATTCTTGTTACGGCAAACAACCACAAATTGAAGTGGTACATAGGGACCCCAAGTCCTCGCCCAGCAAACTTGAGAGCTATTTCATATTCTACTTAATATTTTCTTTGCTGTCCTTCTTCTGAGAAAGAACCTGCTTACCGCCACATGAAATGTAGCATCTATTACCATCAAACTTTATCTAAGGCATTTAATATGCAGCCTTACAATGATTACATGGCGTTTAATATGCAGGCTTTGATGAATCAATTGCCTGACTCCATTCGCCCATTCCATATCCATTGTCCAATCAATTCTTGACAAATTGATTCCAAGTCCCAACTGATGATTTTCCTCCAGCAGATCCCTCCTGGATCGGACAGCAACACTCTTCTCCCGCTTCTTTTTTTTTTTCCCTCCCTCTCTCTGACCCACTGTCTACCTAGTCTGTCTTCCTGTTGACCGACTACAATTCGCGGGTGCGAACATCATTTGTGGCCTGAAAAAGCCTGAATAAGTCCAACTGACACAATTCTCACCACCCCTTTTCTCTCCGTAGTCAAAAATCATCAGGCGGAGGAAGTAAGGAACCACACTTGCTAGGTCCTACACGAACAAAAGCATATGATAGCCGAAGAGAGAAAGGAAGCCAACATCACAGGCTGAGCCCCCTCCTATCAGCAAGGACTTCACAGAACAGCAGGTGCAAAACCTGCTGATCAGCTGAGAAGACCGGCAGACAAGAACTTCCATTTTGTCTGGCTGCTGCTTGAGGGGAAAAGCCACAGTAAGCATGCATACTGGATAAGGTTCTGTGGGCCCATAACCATCCCCCCTCGCTCATGCATACTGGATAAGGTTCTATGGGCCCATAACCATCCCCCCTCGCTCATGAACACAGCTCGGTGCAGACAAGTGATTGCGCAGGAGGATGTCTTGTGCCCATGACCTGCATATGGCCTGCCTGCTTATAGGAACACAATCTGGCAGAATGCGTATTATCAAGGGGAGCTATAAAACAATCGAGAAAAGGATGCATCCAGGAATGTCGCAGCCCAATCACAACCAGCAATCCATAAACCTTGCCTAAAGAGTGAGTGGACTCACAACTTATACTCCTCGCTCGGGTAATCAGACCTTTGGATGCTGATAACAGCAATGCCTAAGGGGTCTACGCCTCTCATGTTAAGTATTGATCAGAAAGAAGAGGAAAGCTTACATGTTAATGTATGGAGACTGAAAGACCCCGCTTGAGCTGCGAACATTACAAAACAGAACCATACACGCACACATAGGCACTCACACACATTCACACACACACACACACACACACACACACACACACACACACACAGAGAGAGAGAGAGAGAGAGAGAGAGAGAGAGAGAGAGAGAGAGAGAGANAGAGAGAGAGAGAGAGAGAGAGAGAGAGAGAGAGAGAGAGAGAGAGAGAGAGAGAGAGAGAGAGAGAGAGAGAGAGATTCCTCAAATAATGATGCGCAAGATATGAGAAACACTGACCGTTACCTTGGATAGAAATCATACCTGGGTAGGAAATAGGCATGTTAGCATACAACAAATAGTTGGGATCTTCAGACATTTTTGTAACAATGAGGGCTACAGCCCGCAATTGCTGGTCCAGGGTGCCCGTTATTGTGACAACACGATCTGTCACACCAGGTAATGCTTGATCTTGTGACGAGAGCTTGATATTTGCTCCAGAATCTTCCACAAATGATCTGGGAAAAGACCACGAAAAGGATAGCAGTCAGTGGTACTGTTTTCGTTTTTCCCTTTCCTTTCCAATGTTCAAGCAAGCGTCTTTGCAGAGAACTGTGTAGCACCGCATTCGCGTTCATCCAGAGATTGCGTACAGTCAATGGCGAACGTGAATGCACTCAGAAACCAAGCGAACGTGAACATCCTTTTTTTTTGTGAAGGCCCTTAGGGGGTCCAGGGGCATCACCCTCCTCCCCTTCCATAACCATCCTCCTCCTTCCTCCTCCTCCACAAACCACTCCCTCCTCGATACCCTCCCCCATTAGTTCCACATGTCGCTTGTGTGTGTGTGTGCTTTGAATTTTCACCACAACAGCCCCTATTCCACCCAGCTGAGTAGATCCAAAGTCGAATCAAATCTAGTCCCATCGTGGACGATGAAAACACGAGTTGAGAAATTCCATCAATAAAACAGTTTCACCTCTACAGCAAGCAACACGGAGCATAAATCACTTTTCATAACTATGTTCACTTTGTCTGTTCTGGGTGTCCCTCTCATTTGTTCTTTGAACTCCCTTTTTGCTGTGCTTCTCCTGTACAAGGCTTCCCACATTGACTGTAGTTAAACCAGATGAATCACCATGCAGCGCCAAGTGCCCACACACCCCGCCTGCCACCGAAGCGGCACACTTGCATATACATACATACATACATATATTTATTTCAGGGGTGGAACCGTGGAGGGCAAGAAGCAACTTACCTAAGATAGAGGACTCCACCAGCAAAAAAGCACCAACCCCATGTGTGTCTGTGTGTGTGTGTGACGGAGAGAGCAAGAGAGAGAGGATTGGTGGTAGCACCTGAATCCGGACGTTTTGGCAGACAGGTACGTAAAATGGGGGTCTCACCACCTTTCTTACCCCGAACAGAAGATACGGTCATTATCACTGTATCAACATGGAAAGTTGCCCAAAATACAGGCATAATGACCGTATGCTCTTTTCTGGGGAAGACATCGAAAAGAGGGTCGGATTAAGCGCCTGAATCTGCACCACAACACCTTCAGAGTCAGGCACTTAATCTGACCCTCTTTGGCAGCGAGCGAGAGCTGTGTGCGCAGCAATGCTCTCTCTCTCTCTCTCTCTCTCTCTCTCTCTCTCTCTCTCTCTCTGTGTGGGTAGTGAGCTAAACCACACTCGGGACTCCACTGCCCAGAGAAACAGCTCTGGAAAGGCCCTTGGTTGTATTTTCGACATCGCTGGCAGCTGGAAAACATCTGGTGGACTCTTTTCCAAGTACCCTCCACTAGAGTGTGGAGGGGCGCATGCCAACCGATGGCATCCGAAGGTCAGTAGAGGCCAGACCACCAGAAGTCCGAGGGAATGCACAATAATGGCACATTGTGGCATGAGGACATGCGTGGTTATGCGCCTTGTTTCATTTCTGTGCCGCGCCCTTCTTTGCGCTTTCCTTTTTCGGATGGCCCCATTCGTTCTCCTTTTCAGGGAAGTGCCTCCATCTCATGTGCCATTCTTGTCAGTGGCGGTAGAGTCCGCTCAAAATGACTCTCCTTTTCCAGTCGCTGTGGCCAGCATCTGGCGTCCAACCACATTTTTCCAGCCACCGGCCAGTGGGGTCCAAGCCTTACTCAGGAATGCACCTCTTGTCATAGCGAATCACATTGTGTCTTTGACAGAAGCCCGCCTTCACACACAACAGCACCATTTGCAGTGATCATCTATGGTGCATTTTGAAGGGACTCAGACCGAGTTACTCGTCAAACTGAACTTGAGAGGGGGGTTATGTAATGACCTGCAAAATCACAGACTGAGAACTCTGCCGTTTTGTGAGTCCTGCCACTGGTTTGCTTGACTTGCTAAGATTCCCCCTTTCTGCTGAGATTTCTAAGTCCGTGTGTGCGTGTACGCTGCGTTTCTGTGTGTGTCTGTCTGAGTGCATGATTGCTTAGAAATGTGTGTGAGGCGCCAGGTGCTGTATGCTGAGAAGGCGCTCGGGCCTGGTACTTACCTGTGGCCTGGGTCGCAGTGGGGACATAGCCGTAGGCTAGACCCGGTAGGATGGAAAACACAGTAGTGGGTAGGTAGGCTATGCCCGCGTAGGACAGAAAGCACTTCAGTAGTGGGTAGGTAGGCAGAAAAAGAGAAAAAGTTAGTACCTTTAGATGCCGAAGGGATTTCGAGTCCAGTAGGCTTAGGTCTAGGGGTACCGGTCCAGTAGAGTCTAGGGCCTGCAGCGAACGACATCAGACCTGCAATGATGTTTCCCTCCGAAAGGAGGCAGGTACCGGTAGCTTGGGACGCCAGGCGGCCTGGAAATCCACCGTCCAAGGAGGCACCTGCCTAGTATATCTTTGGGGGGAGCTAAGTACTCATTTCGCGGTGTGCAAGTTTGGTGTGAGCTGCTGGATCCCTGCTGGAGCGAGCGCTTGGTATGTCCAGTGCTGGGGAGGAAGAAGGCAGCCCGGCCCCTCCACTCAGCTATGGTGGAGCAGACGAGGGAGGAGAGTGACAGGGGTGCTCACCTGGCTATGGTGAATGGCATCTTCATCTTCTTCGGAGGCGCTGCACCTGGAAGGCCCCATAGAGGTGGGGGCAGAAATCGGCATGGCATCCATAGTAGAGGCGGCAGAACTGAACACCAGAGCAGGGCTCCGATGCTCCAGTATAGCCACGTACTAGGAAAAGGTGGAGAGTGTACGACATGGCTGTGTTGGACCTCATGAGCTTACTGGCAGTAAGGTTCTCGTTCAATCTTTCATTGTTATTCCTATTATTTGTTGTGAAGAAGAAGTTGGGGGAGATAAGGAGGTTGAAGGTGATGGCAAGTTGGAGGGGGATTTATTGTGAAGACGAACCTGGTCTTCCCTGGTGTACATATTCTACATATTCTTCTTCTTCCATTCTTATTTCTTCTCTATTTCTCTTTCCAAGGTCTTCCTGGTGTACATATTCTTCTTCTTCCATTGTTATTTCTTCTCCCTCCTTTGTCTACTTAGGTATTTCATTTCAGCTGCGTTTGAACCGCATTGTCTTTTCTTGTGTTATTGCACTTCAAGATAGGCAGGATCATAACATAAGCATCACAACTTCCTACATACGCATGTGCATCGTGCCTCATACCAAGCAACCCAAACTGTTGTAACACATCAACATAAATCTCTTCCGAAGACCAAAGTGAGCTGCAGTATCATGACACGTGAATAGACTCTTAACCCGCAAGTACATCCAAGCCTCTTTTTTTCAACGAGGCAGATTCCCACTGCACGCCAAGCTTTGCTGAAACTCCAGCTCGGCGTTTTGTCTTAGTTTTTGAGGTAATCTAAATATGTTGTCCCTTGGGTAGGAGTAACCTACCTACTGCCATACACTAGCATCTATGCCTAGCCATATTACCACAGCAAATAGGAAGTCTGCTATGCATGAATGCTCGCCAGCAACCACACTGAAATTGCCTTTCTGATGTGTCAGCATCAAGTCAATCATATCCACGTCGACCAGCTCTTCAGGGCTTCACAAAATTGTCACTGTGCCCTACTCCACCAGACGATAACATTGTTTGACTTTGCCTCCATACCGTGAAGAAAATGCTTCCAATGTTCGCGTATATGCCATAGAGTATACAAGTTGCTGCCATAGGTGGTGTCTACCATGAAGATAATGCTTCGAATGTTTATATACAAGACATAGGGCATATGAGTTGTTCCCATACGTGTCTACCACGAACATTACGCTTCAAATGTTCAAGTACCTGGACATAAAGCATATAAGTTGCTCTCATAGGTAGGCACTGCTAGCTCCTCTAAATGAATAATCTTTGACACCTACTCAACAAGCATTGTCTTTTCCCCTCTTCCTGCTGAAGCACTGGGCCTCTTCCTTGCCGGCTGGGAGAAGCAATTCTGGAGAAGCAACTAGCATCCACAGTCGGCATAATGGCAAGTCCGGAGAAGCATTTTTCAGAACTCGATAATCAACGACAGCTGGGAGCTGCACCTATATAGTACTTACCTATCATCTTCACCCAAAAAAAAAGCCCAGTCATCATAGCTGTACCTTTCAGTCCAGATACGGCGATAATGACCTCGTGTTCTATTCGGCTGAAGCACCAGGTCATCTGTGTTCCCTGGTGTTCGTGTAACTCATCTAACATCTTTTGCGCAGCACTATCGTTGAAATATAACTGCAGTAAGGCACCAGTTCAAGAGCAAGGTGCGCCGGCTAGCCCGTCGACCATTTCAGGATGTACCAGCCAGCCTGCACCCAGTTGAGTACATTTATAATGGAAAACGTTTTGGTCATCCACATAACTGGGACACATACTGGTAGTTTAAAGTCGTAAATCTCAGTCAGAGAAACTACGTTATCAATCCGTCATATTGCCATTCACCCATGAACGAATTATCTGCCTTTTCCCCAAGATAGACCACACCTACGATGGCTTCATGCTCTTTGGCTGTCTTGATGCATTTGATGAAAGTCCTCGCTTCTGCTACAGATGTAAAAGCATTGTTCTGTTTAGAAACTGCAGTGGCAGGCATGGTCAATGTGGCTGTCACAAGAGTAGAAAGGACCAAGAACAGGGACAAAGCCTGGCTGAGTCTCTGCAATCGCAATCGGCACGGGAGGACAACAACTACACAGGGGCTATGCTAGTCTTCTCCAAACTGGTTAAGTCCCTGCGATCGCAGTCGGCACGGGAGGACATCAACTACGCACTGGGAGACTCTTTTGTTTTTTTTGGGCCATTTCTCGATCTCTGTGTGTCATCCTTTGGCAGGGGCAATGCTAATCTTCTCTGTAAGGTTTCAATTTTAACGGATGTCCTGAAGGACGAGCACTGTGAGACTTAACATTGAAGTGATGCTTTTATTCCGGGTGCAAGGACCTCGCCCACAAAAGATTGGGTTGTCACGAATATAGATGATGCCACAACCACCGGCCTACCGTCTTCACTCAAATAGAAATCCCAGTCATTGTAGATGTCTCTGGGACAACTTTCACTCAAGATACAGGGATAATCACTTTGTGGTGCGCTCACCGTGAGATGACAGGCCAAAGGAAAGAAAATCAAGTAAAAGAAAAGAAAATGCTCTTGCGAGCACGGCTCTCCAGCAGAGCAGAGTGGGCCTAAGTAGATTTGGACTAGTGAACTTTACACTTATCAGGCGTATACTCTCACCAACTGAGTTATAGGCCCATGCTTGGAAAGAATTGAACTCTCAACCCCCAAATTGTATTTTACTCATGTTAAGTCATGGACTGGTTTCTTCAGCACTTTCTTTATGAGTAGGTACTTTATATGATCGACATAAAACCTGACCTGTTAAGTCCGTACAACGGCTATCTTCTCTACTACTTTCCTGTTTTTTACTTTAGCCAATATATATTAGTCTGCCAGGCACTAGTAGCTTTATTGGTGAGCTTTTGTTACGAACAGGCCAGGGCTCGATCCCTGGTCTGCGGGCCACAAGCCCGCCTACAGCCTTTTCACTGTTTCCTGCTGCAGCCCCGTTTTGGCCCACTCCCAAAATCCCATTTTTGAAGTTCCATGCCCAGGGCCTTGCAGACCCGGTCCCCATTTGGCACAGCCAACAACCAGTTTTCAGCTACTGTGCTCGCTTTATGTGACTCGCCCCTCCGGCATCGAGAATTGAAGACTTCAACTTTGTGACTCCGCTACTTTGTCTGCGTCTGTCGAGTCCATCAGTCGTGTCGAGTGAGTGAGCGTGGGTGTGTGCTCTCACTCTCTCCCTCTCCTCTCCTTCCTCTCTCTCTCTCTCTCTCTCTGCTCCACCTCTCGCCTGTTACAGTTTTTTTTTATTTTAGTAGGCAAAATTATAAAGAAACACATGTAACATATTTGCAAGAACAGCAATCTTTAGGTGTTATAGAAAAGAAAGCTGTGACAAAACTAGGAGAACCCTCGTATACATCAGGTGCCCACATATGAAAAGGAACTGCAATTATTTTCCATAAAAAACTACAGGAATAAATAAAATTCCCATGGCATTCTATTTGGGGAACGACTGTAGCAAGACTCGGGGAATAGCACCCACTTCTTATGTCAATCTACTTGTAGCATCCGCTATCTAAGTCTGATTGTTAGACATAACGATCATACTGTGCAATGCTTCAGCCACCAGCCTGCCCTCTTCGCCCAAACAAAAGGCCCAGCCATTATAGCTGTATCTGGGGCAACTTTCAGCCAAGAGACGGGAATAATGCCTGGGCATTCTATTTTGATGGAGACTGTAGGAATACTCTGGTGAATAGCACCCACTTCCTATGTCAATCTATTTACAGCATCCATCATCTTTTGCAATTCTGACTGTTAGGCATACTGGGCATTCTATTCAGGTGAAGACTGCAGGAAGACTCTGGTGAATAGCACCCATCATCTTTTGCAATTCTGACTGTTAGGCATACTGGGCATTCTATTCGGGTGAAGACTGCAGGAAGACTCTGGTGAATAGCACCCACTTCCTATGTCCATCTATTTATAGAATCCATCATCTTTGAAAATCTGACTGCTTGGCAAGCGGTCATCTACAGTATCAAGTTATCGATTCTACTGTTGTTGTCCGTCCACAACAGCAATATCTCTGAAATATGTATGACAATTTCACATAGAGCTATTTCAGTCTCTCAATGATAGCTCCCTTTTTCCCATCTGCCAGCTCTTACATTCTGGTCTGACCAGCCTCCAAATCTTCCAATGACATCCTCCTCTGTATTATATATATGCTGCTTCACTATATTTCCCTCCTCTGTGCTCTTTAGATTAGACTCAGGCTCCTTCTTCAGCATCTTTAGACCTGAGCTGGAGGGCTCTATCCTAACCTGTTCCCCTGTTGGGTTTCATGGTTCGACAGATGCAAAGGTTTAGAGATTCTTTAGAGGTAATCCTGGGAGTCTTGCCTCTGCCAGGTACTCATTGTCACTCACTCGTGTCCCAGAACCGTTTGAGGTTGCGCTAGGGAACATGCTTTGCTGTACCAGTCGCTCCAGGCCTAATAGCCGCATGCTTAGTCCAGACCTACCATCTTCCCCCAAACATGACACATATGCTTTGTAAACAAAGACAATGCATAGGCTGCTTTCTATTCGAATACCACACATGCATCTATTCGAACATCCCGTATATTCAAATACAACGCATATGCATTCTATTAGAACTTTGGATTTCATCTTGATAACTCGGATACAAAGCGTATGCATTATGTTCGGGGGAAGACGGTAGGCTGCACCTGCAACTGTTTCAGGCTGGGATGCTAGCCTACTGTGCCTAACCCATTCCTTTAGGCCCATTGGCCTGCATCTTCACTCTGAACCATAAACCTCCTTTTCCTCTTTCCTGTGTACCAAACTCAAGAAGACTACAGATTCGCTCCTAGACTTGGACCGCAGCAGATACACTTAAAAGTCTGTAGCGGTCTGTACAGGACTGCCAGAATGGTCTGTTTAGCACTACTCAGCGGATGCTTAGGTGTAAGACGGCAAAACGAAACATGCATGACCGTCGTACGATGCTTGCACCGAACAGGACGAAGACAATCTCTGGCACCAACAGAAAAATGAAAATGTCCCACCCTCACATTGCCCTTCCATGTACATGTATGAGCATCATATGACGCTAGGACAGAGCAATAGTCCCGTTGATGCCAAAACTTCAACACAATGCACAGCTCCATCTAATCCTTTTGTAGAATGCCCCAACACCACAAACAAACTGCAGCAACACAAGACAGTGACTTCAATACCAAGTGAAGTTGAATGCCCCAACACCACAAACAAACTGCAGCAACACAAGAAAGTGACTTCAATACCAAGCGAAGTTGAATGACGATCAGTTGGTACACCCCCAAACTGCTGTGGGTTCGAATTCTACTGGAAACAAACGAGTGAAATACTACAATTCTGAATCGCCTAGGGCCGGTCCTTTCGATGATGATATCTCAAGGCCTTAGCCCTTGTTTTCTTTTTTAATGTACCATAGGGCCATAGGCTGGGAAGTACACAGTGCCAAGACTTCAAATAGGGAACAGACCTCTTGCACTCTATAGGGCCATAGGCTGTGAAGCACACAGTGCCAAAACATTAACATAGTGAAGACACCTCTTGCACACCAAAGCCAGTTTTCACATGGTCAACTGCCACACAGCCTAAAAATTATTTTACCAAGACATTAACCATAGTTGATTAAACCACCACTACCCCCGCCGTCATAAATTAGGGGGAACCGGTAACACAGTTCCATGAGAGCTGCCGATAGCACAGTAGGGGGAACTGGCGGAGTGACAAAATTCAAAAATGCATCGAATTACCCCCGCGATTGATTTCGCGGTTCAACTGAATTTATTTTTTTTTTTAATTATTTTTCCTGTAAAGATCACAACAAAATCTTCGGACCCTCAAATTTTCAGAGTTGTTGGGTAATGCTTCTGATCGCAAAAATTCATGGAAGTTGGGTTACTTTTCCCGTTGGCCCATACGTGGTAGAGTAGCAACAATGGAAAATGTGATGAAATGGCGCGGCATTTACTTCACGGTCTTTTTTTTTTTTTTTTTTTTTTTATGATATTTTTCCTGGAAAGATCACGGCCTAATCTACAGGGATATCAAATTTTCAGATTTCTTTGCCAATTTTTCTGAGTGCAAAAAATCGGCAAAGTTCGCACTTGAAAATTCTTGGACCGGACCCGCCTGCACCTGCCGGTCGCCGCCCCCCCTAAGAACCCGGCCATTAAGGCCAGGCAAGTCCATTTTAGGCTGGCGGGGGTAGTGGTGGTTTAAGACAGCAGCGTTATTCTCGAATTATAAATAATAACAGCCATCTTTTCCGTATTCCATGCCTTTTCGAGTTTCCACCACACACTCTGACTGTTGCAACCCAATCATGCTTGTTTCAAAAACATTTTACAAAGCTGTAACATGTGGTGCCAATACTCGTGGCAAAAGGTTATTGTGAGAAGCGATGAACTCCCTGAAAGGCAATAAAAGCGGAGAAGAAAATAATGGATGGCGGACACAAGCAGAAGTAATAGTTATAGATCCGTACATCTGGGCGCAAGGCCCAGCCAAGTCTCTTGACCACTACAAGCCAGGATGGCGGACACAAGCAGAACACCAGAGCAAACTGGGAGGGCAGCACGATACATACAAATTAGCAGTTCATTTTTAAGGGAATGGCCAATTCCTGCATGTTCAATGCATCAATACACATGCAAAACATGAATACCAAGATTGAGAAAAGCCAGAGGGCAGCTCAACAGGACAAAGAAGAGATGGCAATGGGCCTAGCTCTGTTGGTACACCCACAAACCATTGAAGTACAGACCCAAGTTCGAATCTAGATGCAATCAAAATAAATCTGAATTACCCGCAGCTAGTCAGCTCAATAATGATATCTCAAGTGCGTTGCACTTTTTATAATTAAAAAAAAGGGACCAACAACAGATGACTGTCAAAACACCATACCGGATTGTAGCGCCTCCTTTGCCAATTATCCCACCACATACGGCGTTTGGAACTATTAGCCTCACTTGACTTGTTTTGTTAGTGTCTGGGGGGCTGCCTCCTGAATCCTGCACATCTCAATGCGATGGAGTTCCAATACACAGAAACGGAAGACAATACGAGGAAAATGAGCGAGAGCCATAGACAGAAAACCAAATTGCAATATCACACTGAAGCCCAGTTAGTCATGGCCGAAGCAGAAACCAGAATGCAGAATGCACTGAGATACAGGCCAAATAAGACCAATGCACTGAACTCAAATGTCGATGTGAGCCTCTTCTCGCCATCATCAGCGGTGTGTCCAATGTCGCCCTTCTCGATTGGCGCCCACTGCCTAGCCTACCTCTACTCAGACCCATGCTAGACTACCACTACGACATGCAACCAGGAGTCTCGTCCAGCCGAAGACCAATGTACGTGACGAAGTCGCCCATGCAGACTGCCGCATACACCAGGTCTCTCTCTCTCTCTCTCTCTCTCTCTCTCTCTCTCTCTCTCTCTCTCTCTCTCTCTCTCTACACACACACACACACACACACACACACACACCACCTCTCCACCCACATTGTGCATCCCCTTCCCGAAGACCACCATCGCCCACGCCAGCCACCTTGCCAGCAGGTCCGGCTTTGGCCGCTCGCGTCCCATTGCCATCGCAATGCCCCCACACCTCTCTGCGACCGTGTGCGCCCAAGGCAGCCAGCGCTCTAGTCATGACCTCGACCACATACAATGGCAGCGCTGTCGCCCAGCAGCCTGGCGCCCGAATGGCTGGCTCTGCCCTGCCCACTTTCCTATATCGAAAGTGCGGCCTGCTTCCTGGTCCCCTTGGTCTGGCGAGCGAGTGCCCAGTGGCCTGGCTTCCGGCCAAACTGTCTACGCCCAGGCCACAACCGGGCCCGCAGCAGTTAAGCAGCCCAACCGTGGGACGTGGCCATCACACGCTGCTTTCTCATTCCCTGAGAGGCCTGAGGCCACATCGCTGCCTGGGAGAGTGATATTTCTTTTCTTGTTTCGTTTCATATTTCCTTAAGCTGTCTTAGCCTTAGTGATTAGTACCTGCGTCGACTTTACGACCCCTGATGAGACTGCTTTGGCAGAGCAGTCGAAACCGGTCGGGTCATCCCGCCATTTTTTTGGTGCTTTCACGACTATTTTCAATATTCAGTCGCGTTCGGGGACTCTTTTGCACTGGCTTCTATGCTTTGCCTCTCCTTCTCCCCATCTTTTTCTTCCTTCTACCCGGTCTCCCTCTCCTTCTTCTTCTTCTTCATTCCCCTCCTATCTCCGTCTATCGAATGATGCTGTGGATTTCTGCTAATCGGATTGCCTTCTGTTGACCATTCAACTGCTCACTTAGGGGCACGTGGCTTGCTGGGGGGCCCAGCATAATTGGCAAAAGGGCCCTCGTGAGGGTTCATTCCTCGCACTCCCTCCTCCTTAGCTTCGAAAGTCCGCTGAGATGCTTCAACAAAGTAGCTTTCCCCTTCTATTCATAATCAGCAACAACCTGAGGTGCTGTTTTAGTCAGCTCCTCCATGAACCAACGGTTTTTATTTGGGTCCGCGTGATGCCTGAATCTGACCCGGTACTCTCTTGCACATTTCAGCAGTCTCCCTCTGTCAATCGGCTTAGTAACAGGCAGATCTTGATGATCGAGAATGTTGTCAATGTCCACGTGGCCATCCATGGTTGGGGGCAGCAGTAATCTCCTTGATGGGAACTTGTCAGTCTCGGTGAAAGGTGCAAGCCCAGGGATGCTAATCACATAAAGAACAATCCGGATCATTACCCGCGATATCCAAGACTTCCCAAGGGCCAAAGTACTGAATCATTAGCTTCCCAGAGATGTTGTCAATGTCCATGTGGCCATCCATCGTTGGGGGCAGTCTCTATGAAAGGTGCAAGCTTGGAAACGTGAAAAACAGGGTAAGTGTGCAGGTGACCAGGGATTCTAATCACATAGGAGGGACCATCCAAATCACTTCCAATGATATCCAAGACTTCCTAAGGGCCAAAGTACTGAAGGCATTAGCTTCCTAGAGATGCTGAACTTGTGTCCAAACTCACGTACCTTAACACAGACTCGGTGTCCAACCTGAAGTGTGGACTGTCGTCTGTGTCTGTTCTCAGATGTTGTCATAGCTTCTTGAGCTTTCTTGATGTGATCGACAGCCCGCTGCAACAGCTTCTCATACTGGACACCAAATTCAATGGTTCCAGGTGCCGCAGCTGGTCGGTTTTCAGGAAGGAGAGAAAGTCTAATGCTGATCTAGGCTTCCACCCCAAGTGCAACTCATTCGGAGATACACCAGTGGTGCTGTGAAATGCATTGTTGTACAGGCCGGCGATCATCCCAGACCTCCTTGTTTGGCTTGATGTAATGCCGCAGCAGGTGCTGTACCACATGGTTCGTATGCTCCCGCTTCAACATCTGCTCAGCCGCTTTCTTCCACATTTCACCGGCGAAATGGACATCTTTATCATTAACAATTGACTTGGGCAGTCCGAAATCATGCACCCAGTTATCCATGAATAACTTGCTGACGTGCTCAGTCTTCACAATCTCTGGCATGGCAACTAACCTACCATACGTGGTGACCTGGTGTACTACGACAAAGATACGTCTCTTGTCACTCTTGATACATGCCCAGTTGGGCGATGTATAAGGATAGCCAAGGATCCGCAAAGTGATGAAAAGGACTGAATCGACAATGGAGTGCTAGTGGAATCTCAACAAGCCATGTACATCCTGATACATACAAAATGGCTCCTTGTGGCGCAGCGAAAGACTTAGATATAAGCCCTGACCTGACCGGGACTGACCTCTCTTACATAGTACAAGACAGCGCAGCAGAATGCTAGATTACCAATGACTAGCCCAATCGATGTCGCAATACAGACCAAACATGCATCATCCTCATCACAAGGTGTGAAGGGGCCTGGCGCTACACACATGAAGAATGCGCCAGGTCCGGACCATTCACAGACGAAGAGGAGGGGATCAGACGAGGAAGAAGGGGGAGATGGGAATTTCGTCAGCACAAAGTCTTCGATACAAGTCCCAAATAATCCCTCGTCAAATGTCTGAAGCCCAATGTCGAGTCTGGATCCAAATGTCACCAAGCCCATTCTCTCGTAGTCTGCGGATGCAGTGAAATCAGGTAGCGAGAGGGTGAGAGGGAGATGGTGGACTGAGAAGAGGAAGAAGAACCCTCTCTCTCTCATGTGCCAGGTACTAACCTGTGAAGATAAGCTGTGCTGCAGGTACCTCGACGACGAGCTGGAGCTATGGCGCTGCAGTTAAGTCTCCCTGGCCTCCGCCCAATCTCTCTCTCTCCAGTTCTACTCTAGCTCCTACTAGCGCCCAGCGCTGAAGACTACTGCTAACGCTACTACTACTACTGCAGCTCTCCTCCAGAGTGCTGCTGAGAATCCTGAAGACTACCTCCTGCCTCCTGAACTGCACGTGAAGTGCCTGGGAAGTCCCTATGAGCTACCTGCAGCCTGCAGGGCGGGCCAGTCTTATATAGTGTTAGCCCGTCCAGGAGGCTGCTCTTGCCAATGCCAAAACGTGCCAGACCCTGGCGTTGAAGCTCAAACAAAGGTTGTCTTGAAAACAGGCCCAAAATGGCCTGTGCTAAAACCCTGGTCTGGTGCCTGAGTTTCAGGGCAGGTCGACCTTACGAGGGCCTGAAAATGGCCCTCCGTTTCAGGGTGAAAAAAGACTCAGGGCCTGGAGGGCCCTGTTTTAGGCTGAAACGACACAGGGTCTGTAGTCCCCTGTTTTCAGGCTTTCAGGCTGAAACGACACAGGCCCTGTAGGCCCTTGTTTTCAGGCTTTTAGGCTGAAAACAACACAGGGCCTGAAAATGGCCCTCGTTTTACGTGCAGCATGGTGCAGGGGCAGCATGTAACACTCTTGTTGGTCATGAGGGTATCCATGAAGTCCATGGAAACGCTCTGTCCCGAGTCCGCAGGAATAGGCAAGGGCTTGATTAACCCAGGCGGGGCTTAAGTTATCGGCTTGTCCCGTTGGCCTGTGAAACCATGCGCTGATTGAGCGCGCGCTCGGCGCTCAAGATTTTGAGCGCCACTCAAAAGGTTTAACCCAGGCGGGGCTTAAGTTATCGGCTTGTCCCGTTGGCCTGTGAAACCATGCGCTGATTGAGCGCGCGCTCGGCGCTCAAGATTTTGAGCGCCACTCAAAAGGGCACTTGAGCTGGGTTCGCAGGAATATTTGTTTTTCAAGGAACAAGTTAAAAAAAAAAAACTTTGAAAGAAAAAAAGGATTGGTAGATCATTTTGAGATCTACAAACCCATATTTTTTATTTTATTTTGTCAAGTTCGCTATATATTTTTTTTAAATAAAAAATTGAAAAGAAAGCGAAAAAAAAAATGGTGAAATGGGTGTTTTTTTTTTTCCCACTTACATGGAAAAAAAAAAAAAAAAAAAAAAAGGGGTTGTAGATCCTTGAGAGATGAGATCTACAACCCTATCCCTACACTTATAGAAATCGCTAACGTGAGAATTGGCCAATCCGGGCCGCCCCCGGTCCTACCAGCCCGACAGTCCGGATTTCCACACAATGTTAAGACTTTAAAGCACTAGTACCTTTGTCGGTTCGGAAAATAGTGGGCCTCCGACCTTTCAGGAGGCTTGAGTCGAAATGACAATTGCTGACTAGATTTATCAATGGAAGCCATTGTCGGGCTTGGGCTCCTAAAAGTTTCGGACTAGGCTAAAACTTGCAGAAACTAGACAACAAAGGTATTAGTGGTTTAAGACTTTTAAGATCACGCCGAGGCAGGGCGGAAGGCCTGGATCCTCGTTCCGATAGGACCACAGATGGCCTGGATCGTCGCAGCCGTTGGAAAGAGGGCCCGTCGTGAAAGAACTGCCCAGTACCTGTTGGTCATTGGCCCATTGCAGGGCGGCACCCTCACCCTACTCCAGTCTAACGGCCCGCATCTACCACACCTAGCGAAGCCGACAAATGACTCCAGGCGCGCACACTCCTCAACGCGCTGCATCGTTCAGCCCGTTGTGCGACAGACGGCTGTTAC